AAAAACATCACAGCAGAAATGTTTCCTGTCCTTGTCTTAAAAGAATTATTCTTCCATCCTACTGCAACCCCCAGACAAATCCTACCAAACTCTCCATCCCCAATAGATCATCAAGCAAAACAACCCAGAGCTCTTGCTTGAGGCATAAATGACCAGGGTCAAATTATCCTACTTTGGATGCTTATGCAAAAACCTAGCTCTAAAAAAAAAAGACTCTAATGCTAAGAAAGTTGGAAGAAAAGAGGATGACCAGTTTCAAGGTAGATAGACTCAATTACAGGGGCAATGGGTATACTGCTGGAGAACACCTGAAAGACCAGATTAGCGGTAGATGGAGAAAATCTACCTATATGGTTTCGATCAGCAATGGTGGCAGATAATCCATCAAACACAATCCTTCAGCATTCAGTTTCCTTATCATCTCCTCAAATGTTCAGTTTCCTTATTTCCTCAAAAGAAGAGACTGGACCGCCATTTGTCAGAAATGGTGTAGGGTCTCCCGCTTGGGGGGGGGGTTTGGACTAGATGACCTACAAAGTCCCTTCCAACTCTGATTATCTGTATCGGTTCAGTGCTGGGCAAATATGTTTAAGACAGGATCCAGAAGCACTCCCTGCATTTAAAAATTAATGTTATATGATGGTCATTTTAGGAGCTCAGCCTAAAAAGGGAGAACGAACAGTTTTAAGGATTTTAAACTAAACAAGTTATTTCATTTGTAGTCTTCCAGAAGTCAAGTGGTCCAGTCATGCCACTACTATGTTGTACAACATTGCCCTTTTCTCAGGCTTCAGGAGAGCTCAAAAGGGACCGTTTGACTCTTTTTCAGGCTCCCTGAAAAATCTGAAAAATGGCCAGTCAGCTTTAATAGTGAGCAGAAACTCAGTATTTTTTTTAAAACAAGTTTTATTGATTTTTTTAAAGACAAACAAAACATAAGACATCAAAGTATAAAACCTCCTTTCTAAAAATTACTTATAAGTTTTAACAAGGCAAATAAAACATTATTTTTTAAGGCATAATTCCACATTATCACATTTCCATATATCTTTTCCAAATTTCTCATTGTTTCTCCCTTCACTTTTATTCAATTATATTTCTTTCTATCAAGGTTTTATTAATTCTCAATCAAGCATAAACACACAAAATACAAAACATAAAACAAGACATAAAAAGATAAAACCTCCTTAATTATCATTTATACATGTCTTTTCCAAATTTCTCCCTTTAGTTTTATTCCTCCAAGGTTTTATTAATTCACAATCAAAACATAGCTAACCAAAACACAAAACATAAAACATAACACTTCTTTTGAAAAGTGGCTTAGCCCCAGGTTACATCTTTTTTTACAGACCTAAATCAAATTCATGCTCACCTTATATACCATTCATATCTTATTAACCATTCTATATTTTCTGTATAACTTCTCCCTTCTTTTCACTCTCTTAATTATATTTTATTTATTTCATCTTATTTCAAAATCATTATGTTTGTATCTTTTGTCCGTTCTTTTCCAATCATCTATTTATCTCTTCTCTTTAGCAAAGAATTTCCCCTGTAATCACTTTTAAGGTGTGACGCCTTTCCCTAAAGTAACACTTAAAATAATACATAATTTCCATCCTGATTCTGCTTAGTACATTCTACATGTTGCATTTTAAAATAAAAGAATAATAAACTTATAATATAGTTAAGTATATAATTTCCATTCTAGTTCTAATTCTAATTAATAGTATAACTAAGCATTAATCATTTTACACATTCTCTTTAATATTTTATTAAATATTGAAATCTATCATTATTAAACATTTTAATATTTTGTTAAGTCTTATAATATTCCAATAGACTATTTCAAATGCAAATACTACAATACTATCTTATGTACTCTTGCAGAATCTTTCTTTAATTATACACTATCCTTTATCCTTTATCTCTAAAAAAAATATCTTGTTTCAGACCGTGGCTTTTTTCCCCTTTTTCCCTCCCTTTCTTCTCCAGTCTGGTCTTTTTGCCCCCTCCTCTCCTAACCTCCACCCTTTTAGCTTCCCCTCTCTGTTGTAATTCTCTTTTCAATTGCTTTCTAACATTGTACCTTTTTTTCACCTTCTTTTTCTTTTTCTTGGTTGTTTTATTGAATCTTAAATTCTCATTTTTCCTTCCTCTCTTCCTATTTTCTTTCTTAATCGAACTTTTTTGTCCATTAAAAATGGCTTCTTCCTTTTCTTCTTCTTCTTCTCCTTCTCCTTCTTCCTCAAGTATTTGCTGGTACGTAGAAACCGCCATTTCTAAAAAGTGGAAGACAGCTCCCAATGAATCCTTGCCATTTTGTTCTCTTTCTTTTAATTTTTCATATTCCATTTTTAGTTCATCCACGGATGGTGCCATTGTAAATTTTTAAGAACAACCCAGATGTCTTTAATCTTAAAGTAATTTGCAAATGTCAAAGTTGTCAAACAATCCAAACAGGCAGAAATTATGTCCTCTTCTTCTCTTTGCAACTTTTCCTCCTGGGGCAAAATCCCAAATATATTTTAAAGCCGTGTTACAGTTAGTTGCTGGTCTTATAATCTTCAAGGTGTCTCCTCCAACAAATTTTTAAAGATTTTTTTTTTAGTCCTCTCCTTCCCACTTATAACAAAGAGCTTATTTTTACCTTAAAGAAGCAGGTTTTTCTGTGCTCATTTGCTTTCTCCGTAAGGAAGGGGAGTGAACTTTCCTTCAGCACTTTCGCTGCTGTAACAATCTTTTGGAAACAAATGTATCAATCTGAAAGTCAGGTTTCCAGGGTGTTTTAAAAGTAACTTAATGTCCCGGTTCAGCCAAGAAAACTTCTCCTTCTGGTTCTTCCTCCTGCGCAGTCTTATCCGGTTGAAGATTCCTTTGTGGCTGCCATTTCTGACAGCTGCTCCACCACCTCAGGAAAAAGGAGTCTAGCCGGCTGGGGAAAGGGGGTGCGATATCCCCAGACCCTGCCCGGATCTCCTCTGTCTTCCGCTGCTGGATCAGGGGTACCTCAGCGGCGAGCGCAGCAGGGACCCGCAGAGAAGCGGATACCTGCCGCCGCCGAAGCCTTGCAACCAGAAGTTGCAGCAGAAACTCAGTATTAAAGGCCTGAAGCACTTTGGCCAAATCATTTTTGCATCTCAGACCTAAAATGCATTTAAAAATGAAGTATAAATAAAGGAGTTGATTATCATTAAAATGCAGGTGTTTTCATTTATTTGTAACCTATCTAGGAACTGCGGTGAATATTTTCTTCTTTCTTTTCTTACAATTTAATAATGGTATCTTTTGTCAAACAAGATGAATATTTTATATAAGGATTATTTAATGGTATTTAACCCAATGATTACATTATTACAGAGTAATTCAGGATAACTAATTTTTTAAAATTCAATTGCTGAACACAAGGCAGAGCAATGCAGGACTCCATTTCATTTCTTTCTTTCATACAAGAAAGTAAGTTCCAAAATCCAGAAAGAAAAGCAGAAAATTGTGCTTCACCATCATTTAGGACTTTACTTGCCTTTAGCTGCTCCCTGCTGCAACTGCCAAAAATAAGTCAAAAGGATAAAGTTAGTTTTTTTAAAAAACAATAAATAATTCATAAAAGCCACACTCAGCAGTAGGTCTAGGCAGCACTGTTTTAGAGCTGAAGATAAAAAGATAACTCCTTAGTGTGTAGAAGTCTGAATGTAGCATCCATCTAAGTTCCTTAAAGGAAGCAGGCCCTTTCCTGGGATTTTGGAAAAAGATACGCTTAATTTGCTAAGTTGCTGGCAGCTGCCACTGCACACCTTGGAGCACTTTTAAATACTGCAGGATCCAATCTGACCAGATGTTTGTTCTTCCAAAATTTCAGACTTCTGCTGGAGCCCATCCTCAGGGAAATTCTCATTCTTCACAAGTTCCCAGAGAATGAATACAAGTCCAACAGTTTGGAAGAACAAACCTCTGGTCTCGTAGACCGATTGGATCCTAAAACATTAATGTAGGACAGGGGTGTCAAACTCAAGGCCCAAGGACCAGATCTGGCCCATGGGGTACTTAAATCCATGTGCAGGACCCTCATGCCTCGTTTTCACTTCCATGGACTCCTGCAGCACTCTGCTGGCTGAAACTGGGCTGAAAACTAGGCTGAAAAACAGCCGATAAACGTTCCGAAAATGGGACACATCACTCGTTTTGGCCAGCAGAGTGCTGCAGGAGCCATTTTGGGCTCAATTTTGATAATAAGTCAAATAATATCTATTTGTCCATAAGGACAATAAAGAGTTATGAATAAAACACACACAATAAAAAGCAACTTCTGGGGTAAGTAATATACAAGAGTTCATTTTAACCATCCCACCCAATCTTTGCAACACAAAACAGCTGCATTTGAATTTGGTAGGATTGTTACTAATAAACATTTATAGAAGTGGATTAGTCTTTGAAGATCCAGCTAGACGATTGTTTGAAAACCCTAAGAGAATTCCACTCCTCAAGAGGATTTGCTGTTGTTGAATCTTACTCTGGTACCACTTTCTGACTTTAGGCATAATGAATTATAATTAAATACAGTAACAACAATACAACTTTTGTCTAGATGCTTTAGGGAGAACAGAGTAGGAATTGAATAAATGGAATAAATGAAAATTAATACCTTAATCCTATAGTTCATGATGTTAGTTCATCTATTGTTCTTGGTGTTATTACTCTTTTATAACTGAAAATAATGACATGTTGATATCAACAAAATACTTTAAGGGCAGTTTTCTGAGTAAATGTCTACAGAATTCTCTTTTGGTATAACCTTAAAACATTAATATGTGAACATTCCACTTTTTTTTGCAGATCCTTCAAGATTATCAATGGCATGAACATTTCCCTTGCATCTTTGGTTGGCCATCCGTGGTTTATGTAATGAGAAGAAAAAAAATTGACCTCTTGAGAGAAGCCTGTGGAGGCAGCCTATTAGTCTATTGCTCAGTGTGATCTCAGATAGAGAAGAACCCAATATGAATACATCACTTCTCTCCTTCACAGGAAATAATTCTATTCAGAACGTCTCCAGTGAGGCTTCTGGACTCTTACATTTCCAGGACATTGACTGTCGTGTGCCTTTGGCAATGGTATTCACCTTGGCCTTGGCTTATGGAATTGTTATCCTTCTTGGCATTTCTGGAAATCTGGCCTTAATTATTATAATCTTGAAGCAAAAGGAAATGCACAATGTGACAAACATTCTCATTGTCAATCTGTCCTTTTCAGACCTCCTAATAACTATCATGTGTCTTCCTTTCACATTTGTATATACTCTGATGGACCACTGGGTTTTTGGGGAGACCATGTGCAAACTTAATCCTTTTGTGCAGTGTGTCTCTGTCACGGTCTCTGTTTTTTCCTTGGTCCTCATAGCTATTGAACGCCATCAGTTGATTATCAACCCTCGGGGCTGGAGGCCTAATAACAGACATGCCTATGTTGGAATTGCCACCATCTGGATCCTAGCAATAGCCTCGTCTTTGCCTTTCTTAGTATACCATATTTTAACTGATGAACCTTTCACTAATATAACCATAGAAGACTACAAGGGAAAATATATATGCTTGGATTCATTTCCATGGGAGTCAGCCAGACTGTCCTACACAACCATCCTCTTGGTCATACAATACTTGGGGCCCCTTTGTTTTATATTCGTTTGCTACTTAAGGGTAAGGAAGAGTTTCTTTTGCATGTTCTTTGTCCTTATTAAGATGGCACCTCTCAGATATGGCTTATATTGTTGTTAACTGAATTCTTATTTTCCACAGATCTACATTCGCTTAAAAAGAAGGTGCAACATGGTGGACAAGATGAGGGATAATAAATACCGGTCCACCGAAACAAAAAGGATCAATATTATGTTGATCTCAATTGTGGTGGCGTTTGCCGTGTGCTGGCTGCCCCTCACCATCTTCAATACAGTCTTTGACTGGAATCATGAAATTCTCCCTGCAGCCTGCAGCCATAATTTGTTGTTTTTAATCTGTCACCTTACAGCTATGATCTCAACCTGTGTGAATCCCATCTTCTACGGATTCCTTAACAAGAACTTTCAACGCGATCTACAGATTTTCTTTCGTTTCTGTGATTTCCACACCAGAGTCGATGACTATGAAACAATAGCCATGTCTACAATGCACACAGATATTTCAAAGACTTCTCTGAAGCAAGCCAGCCCTCTCACTTTTAAAAAAATTAATGACCATGCTGATGAAAAAATATAGCTGCTGTGTCGTGACTGACATGGTTTCGTGAACAAACACCAGATTTAAAAGAGGTTTATTTTTCTTCCACTAACTCTGAAATGTCACTTTCATGTTTCTGCTGTTGCTGTTGTTTTGATTTTGTTGTTGTTGCATGTTTGTGATTTTTAAATGAAGTGTTCTTTCTAATATTATAGAGTATATTGATACTTTTGCTGCCTGAAATGGAATTCCCCCCCTATTTTTGTTTTCATATACAGTATTTCTCTACCAATTTAGTATATTATTTAAGAATATTCTTGTACTGGTATACATACACACACACACACACACACACTCGTATACACACACACAACTAGAGAGAGAGAGAGAGAGCACAATATATGCTATTAATACTTTTTCCCCAATTCAGTTGTGTCCAGTTATTGGAGACTGCTTAGACACGTCCTTGCAGTTTTTATATAGAATTAAAAAATTAGAGAAAAAGCTGTACAGTATTCAATAAAGGCTTCTATTTAAATTTTATTTAATACTGAACTAGATCAGTAATACTGAGAACATTAAAATCAAAATGTAGGAGTTGGACAGGTTGAGCACGAGGGAGGCATCAAATGTGTCCTCAGTCTCCAGTCACTTCGCACCTACAAGTGAACTAGATCCAGCCCACCTTGAATTCCATTGACTCTGGCTTTGGCCTTTAGTAGTTCAGATTGTTATAGAGAGCTTAAGCTTGCAATAAACCTTTATATCCACTTGAACTGCCTGGATTTCCTACTTTCTCTTGCTTGACACAAAAAAGATTGATATGCATTTCTTATTTCGAAAATCAAAACTAAAAACCTCTATGCAATTCAATAAAATATAGAACCAATTGTAGAAACAGGATAGGCTAACACTCATATTTTAAAGCTACTTTTTTTTAGGACACTTGTGAAGAATCACTTTTAGGTGAACTAAATGGTCCTTTTTTTTTGAAAGTCATCATAATCATTATGGTATTTTTCTGCAGATGGGACAGTTTCAGCATTTACCTCAGTAGTAATTAAGGTGTCTCATGGTTTTTCTAAATACTTATAGCTCAACATTTCCACTGATAGTTGTATCTGTAAATAGAGTTATGGATCAGAACAACCTATTCATGTATGTTTTATATTTGTAAAAAAAAATACTGCTATGTGTTTTTAAGTGGAGAAAAAAATCAACATATTTCCCTTAATATCACAGGTCCACTGACTTCCCTTTTTTTTTTACATTATGATAGTTCTTACACTTTTAAAAAAAGAGATCCAGTTGCAGTTCTCACTGTATCACTTTGACTATGCCATAAGTGTGTGGTCTGTGCAGCCTTTATAACCAATTTGAAAAATGTACTTTGAAGCATGCAGAGTTTGAATGAGACCCTTGTCTATACTATAAAGCAACTATATTTTTTTTCTTAGGACTCTGTAGCTATCTAGTGAAAATCCTATCATGTGCAAAAGATCAGGCTTCTATAGCCTGCGTACATTCCTAGTAAGTTAAAGGGAAAATGATAAAAAGAAATAAATTATATCCTGTCACTTAGCTCTCTATAGCGATTAGGTAATCAGCCGCTACTTTCCCCTTTTCATTTATGAAAAGACAGATTGATTTAGAAGCAGAAACTTTATTTTAAAATACAGTAAAAGAATTTTAAAAAAAATTAGCTTTAAGTAATTGCATATAAAACACATGCAAAACTATTTAAACTACAGCCAGCTTCTTAAAAAAATACAACAGAACAATCTAATAGATTAACAGAATTGGAAGGGACCTTATTTATAGGTCTTCTAATCCAAACCTCCCCCTAAATAGGAGACCCTACATCATTTCTGACAAATAGCAATCCATTCTCTTCTTGAAAGCTTCCAGTGATGAAGCTCCCACAACTTCTGAAGGCAACTTCTGTTTCATTGGTGGATTGTTCTCATTGTCAGAAAATGTCTCCTTATTTCTAGGTTGAATCTCTCCTTGATCAATTTCCATCTGTTATTCCTTGTCTGGCCTTTAGGTGCTCTGGAAAATAGCTTGGCCCTCTCCTCTCTATGGTAGCCCCTCAAATATTTGGAACACTGCTATCCTGTCTCCCCTGGTCCTTCCCTTCACTCGACTAGCCATGCCTGTAACCGTTCATTGGATGTTTTAGCCTCCAGTCCCCTAAACATCTTGGTTAAGTTAGATGGCATTTCTGCTGCTAAAACCAAAGCAGTCTGGCTAAAAATGTGCCAATTTGCATAAAGCATCTGAGAACTGAGTTTTCATGGATACAATAATTAGAGAGGCTATATTAGACTTTAAACAGAGTTCCATAGTATTGTATGCAATATTCATAGCTAAATTCATGTATTTAATTTCTACAGCTGTCTTATTTCAACCAAGTAATTCTGGGCTTCGTAGAGTTTTATAGTTTTAACTTATTCTTTCAGAGATAGCTATTTTTCCTGAAGGAGATTTCCATTACAGTTGTTCTTATATTGTCCCCCAGATCTCTGAGGATTTGTTATATTTCAAACTGCCTGAGTGTGTGTGTGAAAGACCTCATTTTTCTTCTCAGTCTTCGCTCTAAACTTCAGCCTTATTTTAAAAATACAACCCATTTTTATCTCTATCATATTTTTTGTTTGCATGCCTGATTTTATATGGGACCATGGCATGTAGCTCATATTGAAATGGATTAAAATTCAGGTATCTCTGATTATTGATGATGATAAGGAGGGAACTAATCTGCCCATTCACTACAGGATTAATTCATGTGTGTGTTAATCTAATAAGCAGTTTTATCCATATTTTGAAAGAAATAGAAGATAATAATGGTATTCACATTCATAATCATAAGTCAGTAATATAATTGTGACATGCAGTGATAATGAGAGCTCGGATTTCATGATTTATTTTGTTCTTAAATGTATCTGCAGCTGGCAAAGGATTCATTATGATTTCTGCTTGAAAAATTATTCAGTTACTTAGAGCTCCTCATTGTCCAACTGCAGCTATATATAACAGTGAGCAGAACCTGCCTCATTCACATGAAACTGGAAAGCTGTTTGAGGCTGTAACTGTAAGGTTGCCAGCATCCCACAAAGCACACACAAAAAAATCTCTGGAGATCCAATCTGTCAAAACCTTACTAAGAACATTTCAAACGTTTTCTTGACAATGATTTCTTAAGATGTGCACATTTATCATCAGCTATATTTGTAATTTGTAATGTAGTAGTTTTACATTTTTATTGTGAAATCTTTATGGCTATAATACCATACTTATCCCACACACACATGCACAAAACAAAACCAAGTCCTTTCCCCTTAATTTTTGATCATAGGAAAACTTAAAAGCACTTTTATTGGGGAAGATGTAAATATTAAAAATACATGTTGGTCACACAGGGTTCCATTGCTCATATTCTTTCTAATTGGGATTCTTCTTTCTAAGTGGCCAATCAAATAACCCTCTGTAAATATGCATGCATGCGTGGATGCATATATAGTACATTCCCACTAATCAATTCTTTTCAAGATGAATCATATTTTTCCCAAAGGTGGAAAAAGAGTGAGAGGCAGAGAGAAAAATAAATTTAAAGCAGGAGAGAGAAAAAAAGAAATCTAAACACATCTAATTTAGATCAGCACAAATTCACTCTAATCTCTCTTCCTTCTGAACTTGCAAACAATTTAGTTTCCATCATATCCATATGCTGATTCATACATTGCTTTTGTTCTTTTAATTTCTCACCTTTCTCTTTCTCCAACCACGTTTTTCTCAATTTTCCCTTTCTTCTTGACACTCCTCCTTTACGTATTTGTTTTCTCACTTGAATAGCTTTGTGACTGTCTAGGACCAAAAGAACAATCAACACAAGACATTGTTGTTACTGCTATTATTTATTGTAGTAGTTTATTTTTATCAATCTAATTTTTATTTATCAATGATTACTGAATTTATTTTTCTTATTTTAGCAAAGATTTTTCTTAAATACCCCATTCCTACTTCATTCAACTTTATTGTTTCTCCTGACATGACCATTTTTTCACTTTTCTATAACTAAGTGAAGAGAAGCACATAACATTTGCTTCACATTTTTTAAGTGAAGAGAAGCACATAACATTTGCTTCACATTTTATTTTTTTAAAGCAATCATTTCTTTCAATAGCTTACATATTACCTATTAATGTACACTTGCATGCCTTAAACATTACCCATCAATTTTCCCCTTCTTTAATAAACATTTATCACACCAATTCATTTACTTGCTATAAATTTTCAATATTACATGTAAAATTTGCAATTAACCAGGTCTATTTTCCTTTTT